AGCCAGAATTTTTGACCAGGAGCTCGCTCTGAAATACGGTCACGTGGATCGGAAATTGCCGTATTACAAGTAATTGCCGGAAACCGTGCTCGAAATTGATCGCGCCAGGCTCACCTGGGACCGGGCCATCATCACAGACAGGACTATTCTTGCGGATAAGCCTGATATTGTGCTGATGGACCGGGCACAGTCAAGGATATTTTTGGTCGACATTACCATTCCGTATGACGAGAACCTCGTGAAAGCCGAAACAGATATACGAACTAAATATCTGGACCTGGCTCACGAGGTGACCGACATGTGGAGTGGTCTGCCGACTGAAATTACTCCTGTAGTCGTTTCTGCAAACGGGCTAATCCCAGTCAGCCTCTCGGGTCATCTGAGGTGGCTGGGACTCCGTGACGGACCGCTCCGGGCTCAAATGCAGAAAGCGATGCTCCTCGATACCGTCCGCATCGTCCGCCGGTTTCTCTCCCTTTCCCCCTAACCCTCGGCCGTTTGGTCTCCCCTGCCGAGGGCCTCCATCTGGTTGGGCTTTTATTTATTTATGTACTATTTATTTGTTCATGCTGGTGTATGAAATATATATTTATGTATATTTATCATTTCCTTTTATATATTTATTTAGCCCAATCAGATGAAAATACACCACATAATAATGATAATAATTATTATTAATATTTATATAATAATTATTTATTGAATAAATAATTTTATTATTATATAATTAAAATAAACATACCGAATACTCTAGGAAACTATCAACTACGCTGTAGATAGTTTATACCACAAGTGTACTCTCTCGTTCTAGTCTACCCGTATACAGGTAATTTTTTTTTTAATTATTTGCACACCTTAAAATTTATGTTTAATCAAAATAAATATAGGCACATCATTATTTCAATATGGCTCATTAAAATCTAATATATCTTTAAAGCAACACATAAGTACAAATTCAAGAGAACTAATCAAGTGACGCGCTATTTCTAAAGCAGAAATGAAGCCAGCGTCACCGCCGCTGCACCGCTTAATCAGGGCTGGACCGCCCGCCCTATATTTGCGTATGCAAAGAGACTACGGCCACATTAACTATGCCATATAGCCAACGTAGCGTGCACCGATTGGGCAAACACATATCTGCATTATAAACAGCGTCCGGGCGCACAAACGCGCTATGTGGTCGGCCTTTACCGGCGCACGACTAATCAACGAGCTGACCTTCCGCAGCCGAACAAACGCTCCAGTTCGCTTCGTACCTCCACTCGATGTAAAATAGTCGAATAAGTACTTCATTAGTGTAGCTACTAAATTAGCAAAACAGAACCTAAGCTCTGTACTTGCTATACCTAAATTAAGTATTTTGATAGATTTAAATTACCATTCGATTAATGACGAACTTGTATTAATACTCGTCGACCAATCTTTAAATAGACTATATTGAAATATCGATCAATCTTCAAATAGACTATATTAATATTAAATATATAAATATTGATATATAATAATTCAGGTTGAAAATCCCTCAACCTGAAAATTAAAATTTTACTTTAGCAACTACAAAAAATTTATAAATAACTAATTCGCGCAACCTTTGTTTTTATTGTTTGTATTTCAAAAAGATGCAAACACAGATTAATCATCAACTATTGGTCACCCAGGGGTCAGAATTCAACCGTAATTTTTGATCATTTTAAGGTTGTATATTAAAAAAGCTGTGTTTAAACTGCAAATCAATAAACAAAACACAGATATCTAATAATATACAAATTAACCTCTCTGAAGCTGAAAGATACGAGTATAATCCACCAATAACATAAATGTAAAAAGAGACCAAGTTTAATTCAGTTGCTTAAATTATATAATATGTACATTGCTTACATATTATTTGTACGTGGCAGAGACACGCTGCAACTATATTATATAGTTGTAGTACGAATAGGTCGGCTCCACCGGGGAAGGACCACGCTCTCATAGAATACCAACGTAAAATAGCAGATCAATGCTGCTGTGTTTCGTATGGTTATTGTAGAGGCTCGGAAAGCCTTTGTAATGGAAACGAGGAATTCCATCTTAGTCCTCGTGGGTGACAACGCATCTGCATTTTGATTCTTAATCCAGGATAAATATAGATGTCTATGGGCCACAGCACCCACTTACCATCACGTGGGCTGTGTGCTCGTTTGTCATCCTATTCTATAAAAAAAACATGAATGATGTACATTCCAATATTGGGATATCATTAACTTGTTAAAAAAGTCTTATCCTTTTATAAATCTTAATAAATACACAACTATTTTTAACAATATATAAATTTTATAATTATTTTACAAGTTTGGCACCATCTGACGATACCAACTATAAATGAATTTCAGATTTTTTTTCCTATATATTTAGTAAAATATTTATATTTCTTAAAATATAAATATCTAAGTAACTTAGACGGGACCTATGTTTTTAACGAGTGAGTCAGTAAGTAATAAAAATAGGACTTTTCAGAACTCAAGAACCAGAATAATTATTTTAAGACTCTAGGTATTTATATGGTCCATTTGCAAAATTAAAAGTATCTAAGATTTTCGAACTATGGGAGGTTCGAAAGAAGTTCTAAATAAATATACACACTGCCGGCTCGTCCCTCTATTTTCCCGAACTTGGCTGATGCACCGCCGTGTGTGCACATTTGTATCTAGACATTCAAATGTAGTACACATGACGTTAATTTGTATAATTTTTTATGTCTTATGCTTTTAATGCTGCAGTTTCTATACCTATTAGTTTAAAGCCTTATAATATTTTATAAAATTACTGACAATAAACGAGTTTTACACATCGCTTCTACCTCGTGTCAATGTACCTTACCCAGTTGTCCAATGCAGCAGAAAACGTCACTAGTTGATCATTTCAATTGTATGTTTGCAAGCATGTGCAGTGAATCGATTTAAACTTTCTACTTTTCACATACGTAGTCACTGTACCCACTTAACGGAAAATCTCAACATATTCCTCAGCTCTCTCTACTAGAGCGAAGAAAGAAAGCGTTTAAAGTACGTTAATTAAAACATGAATACATTCGATAAATTATTACACAAAACGACTTAGGAAATATTCTTTCATATGAATTTTACAGTATGCAAGCAACCAAACCCAACCCAGGTTGGGTTCGATCGCACCAAGAAAATTGTTAATCACAACTTTTTTAATTTAAGAAAAAAATTCGAAAACCTGGGCTGCTAGCATTTTCTTGCCTTAAAAACCCTCTCCGAAGAAGTCTGAGCTCAATAGTGAATCGTATATGCGCTGTAACTTAATTTTTATATTTATATTAAATTACAATAGATAGGTAGGACTTCTATTTCTTACCTTTACTTCTCTTACCTTATTTTAGCCGTCAAACTGATATAAGTTTACGTGGTAGAGCCAAGCTGCAGCTATAATTAGTAGTATAGTTGTAGCACGAATGGGTCGGCTCGACCGGGAAAGGACCACGCTCTCACAGAATACCAGCGTCAAATATTAGCTTAATGCTGTTGTGTTTCGTATGGTGAGTGTAGAGAACCGGAGACCCTTTTTGCTAGAAACGACAAATAACGTTTTAGTCCTCTCGGGTGACAACGCCCTTTCGATTCGTATTTGAGGATAGATGTAGATGTCTATGGGCCGCAGCAGCCGCTTATCATCGGGTGGACTGTGTGCTCGTTTGTCACCCTATTTTATAAAAAACGCATCTTTTTATCGTAAGAAAATCCTCATTAATACCCACCGCTGCGGAGGAAACGGAAAGATTATGTCGGCCTTCTACCAGTTAAAATCCCAACCCCGCATTGGAGCCCCCAATTACACTACCTAAATTCACTTTGTTTTACTAAAAGCTCATCTCGGTGGCAGCACTGACGGCTACTATTGCTGTGTTCCAGTCGAAGGATACGAGAGACAGCATAGTTACAAAACTGTGAAGCGTTTCATCCTAATCTTAATTTTTTTCTTTCTCTATTTGAAAACAATAGCAAGTGCCAATGGGCAGCAGCAGCAAGCTGAACCATCTTCTCATCCAAAGGTGAACTGTTACTTCGTGTGTCACTTAAATTTCATAAACATACATTATTCCTCAGCTTCGATGTAGTTAGTGATGTGTCAATCTTGCTTGATCAAATATGCTGTTGGCTTGTTTTCCATTCCGATAATTTAAAAAAATACAAGATACACACTCGATGAGGTGTTTACATCCACAATTGGCTTTAAGGCTTTACAAGAATACGCAACGGATACGCATTTCTTAAAAATGTTTCTTACTACGCGGATCATTTTTTGCTTGGTGAACGTGCGCTTAGTGTTCACATTTTCGGCATTTTTCTATTAGCTTTTTGTGTATATGTGATTGACATTTAAAAAACTATACTCACTTATACTTAGCTAACCTAGGGGCTACGCCGATAACATTCTGTCGGCATTATAAAATCACAAACACCAGATCGAAGTAATGAAGTATTAGAATAAGGTTTTTTTTTCTGTAAAAACTATGATTCCTCAATTCTTTTGATTCTCCAATGACGGTAAAGATGATGAAAATTTAAGATCGTTAAATGACTGGAAGGAAAGGATTAAGAGCCTATATTTTAAAAAAATATAAATGTTTAAACAAAAATAAAACTAAAATATATAAATTATTTTTTATTGTTTCTTACATGACTTTAGTAAATTAATTTACGTTTAAATATAGCTATTACCGTAGTCACAATTAAATAAATAATAATAAATTATTTACTGACGTAGATCTGAAATCAAGTATGGACAACGAATGTCCACAGTTTTTGTCCACTACGTGAACAATACTTTGGCTTGAGGTATGTTTGTGTGGTTCGGCGCGGTGCAGGAGCCCAGTTGTTACCACTAAGAAAGCGACTGAAGTTACGCACTGGAAGCAGATTGTTCCCCTTTGTGCAAATACGGGTCAAACGCGCCTTCTTTAACTGGCCTCACCACGTATAGATCCCGCCTTCGAATTAAAGACTAAAATGAAAATTCAGAATTTTATATATGCAATCAATAACGTATGCCAATAATGGAGCCAGATCTGAGCTTAACACGTGTATAATATTATGAGGATTACATTTTTAATCAAACTTGATTTACCGTAGTTTAATTTCAACTGTTTTTCTTACGAAATACTTTTATACTTATAGTCATTAAGTTAGCAACTCACCTATGGTGTCCATCGGCGTGTACTTGAAAAGTTGTCTCACCAGTAGATCCTTCTTGACTAAACAGTTTCTTGAGAGCAATAATGCCGGCTATTGTTAAAGCAACTTTACTGGCTATGAGTGCTTTACCGGCAATGATAGCTAAAGTCTTCAGAGCCATACCACCCACTATGCTAACGGTAGTTAAAACACCGAGCATGAGGTAGGGTAAGACCTTCTTTCCTGTATAATAATATATTATAATATATATTTTTAAATTATATAAATTTTAATTATCATATATGAGCCGTGGTAGCTCAGATGGTTAACGCTCGCTGTAAATATAACAGAACGCGAGTAACCCGGGTTCGATCCCCGCCGGCACCAATGAAATTGTTAATTGCAATTTTAAGTGCTGATTTTACCACGTGCTCGGCGGTGAAGGAAAACATCGTGAGGAAACCTGCATTTCTGAGGAATAAGAAAAAAATATTTCGAAGATATGTGAAGTTCACCAAAACGCATTGGGGTCGGCGCGGCGGTCACTTCCTTGCCCTAAAACCCTCTCAGAAATGAGGGGAGGTCTGTGCCCAGTAGTGGCACGTATATAGGCTGTAACTTTACTTTTTACTTTTATAACTTTTAATCACACTTGTTATTAATATAAAAATTTATCGGTCACTACCCACCTTTAGCTCTACCTTCCGAAGAAAAGTCAAGTGATACAGTGTGTGTCTTCAATAACTCTTCAAACTTTCTTCGTAACATGCTGTCGACTTTTTCTTCCGTTGACATACCAGGGAAGAATCGAGGCTCGGCCACCGAAACAGGTGTGTCAGACTGTTTTACCAAAGTCAATCCATCGGCCAGTTGTACGCTCTCCTGTACAATAACAAAGCATTATAAACACAGTCACTGAGCACTGTAGTCCTTATACACTAATTTCACTTCAATCACCTGCTCCACTGCCTTCGAGAGTGCTGTTAGAGCTTTTCCCTTCAAACACATCGTTAAATCTTTTTGTGCACTGCAATCGTCGTAAACTTTTTGTAACATTGTAAATTCAGCTGACTGCCACCAAGAACTTTCATCAGCTCTACCACTGTCAAGTTCATTCTGTCTGGAGTCTTCTTCAACTATCCTGCGGGATCTTCTCGACCCATGAACATGGCCGTAAGCGATCGCTGTACAGAGGAGTGAAACCATTACTATTCGAAAGGAGGTACACATTTTTGATTTATCTTTTAATCAACACACAATATTAAAAAGTGAAAATATGATGTGTATGAGGGTGGTCTAGCGATAACTGGCGACCAATGCGATGAGTGCGAGTTTATAACGGCGATGCACTTCGCCGACAAGCACCACCAAACATCCGTCATTCCGCACCAATTCTCTTGCACGCATACTTACGTAACTGAACTTGAATAGGCTGAAAATCATTTTCCAACAAAATTTCTCCGATGAAATGCTCGGAAAAAAGTAAAGCGTATATGTTACAATTTGCAGTATTTATTTTCACGTGTACGTACATATGTGAAAAATTATAATTACAAAAAACTTTGCGTGTACTGTCAGGACAATTCAATATCACGTTTTACTCACGGACGAACAGTTACAGAATAATTTTCTAACTTAACAAAACAAATCATAGTTATTTCAGTCTTTAATTACGCGTCCACAAAGTACAAGCTGTAATTGCGATTAAACCCGGCCTTGTTTAATGCAAAATGATACCGCAGTCGCGAACGTTTATAAGCTAATACAAGGAACTAATACATATTATACGTACAACAGAAAGTAAAAGTGGCATCGTGAAGCACGCAATAAAATAAATATGTGTGATTATAATCATTATAATAACCAACAGCTAGAGCTATGAAGTACGCGGCCTCGTGGATCGTGACGTGTGGCCGTTTTGAAGCCCAGGAGCAAGTCTTTTTTTTCCAAGGGAATTAACCAACTTGCAAAACGCTATTTAAGGTATATTAGCTTAAAAGGCGATTACGTTAAAAACGAAATACAATTTACATATACTTATCCTAGACTTTCATTGCGTATTCAAAAACTTATGATCAATCTAGTGTATGTAAGGTATACTAGATTGATCATAAGTTTTTTGAATCTAGTATATGTAAAGGTATATTAAAAATATACTTTGTGTATATTTAAATAATATCCCAACCAGACCAGACTATTACCAAAAATTATATTAATCGCCGTCACGTGTCATCCTCCTTGAGTCAGATGAAGCTGTAACAGCGCAGACATCTCGAAAATAGACGTGTCTTCCACAAAGCCGAATATACAGATTAGCGATTCTTAGCCGTGTGGCAGCGGAGTAAGAATCTTTCAACCTCTTGTTCACACCATGATTCAGTGACAAAAAAATGATCCCGTATTCTCGTCCAACTCTTATAATATACAATGGCGATTTTAGGAGATGGTAAGGATGGTTTTAATTATATGTGAGGAGTATGAAGACAATACCCTAGGAGATTTTGATGGGGTGGTTGGGTTGAAGAGTTTTGATCGTTTGGAAATAAATGTATAACTATAAATTGTAACCCTACTCACAGTATTTTTGGAAAGAAATTTTCTTTAGAAGAATATGTACTTTCTTTCGTCATATGAAAACACATATCTACTTATACGTGGGAAAGGGGGAAGATAACTAGATGAAAAGCATGATAGATTTTATAATTGTGGATGGAAAAGTGAGGAGCGCAGTGGTAGACCTTCAAGGTTTTACCGAAGTTCCAACGTAGAGACGGATGATTACTTGGTCTTATACCGGTATGCAGTTCAGACGTTGGCGGCATCAAACATCTGTAGTTATTACTATGTTGCAGCTTATAAAATTCGTATTTTATATACAAATTCAAGACATTTCTTAAAAGTTCAATTACATTTAATTATAATATGTGCCATTTTGTTCGACAACTTGTTGCCATCTTATAGGTAATGACATAATCCCGTTACTGTTGAAATCTTGGGATTTTAATGAAAAAATGCAACAAGTAGTTTTGGCAGTCCTCTCTTGATGTTAACCTAACACTACCCAAAGAATTCTGAAGAGACCGAAACATCTGAAGAAAATCTGAGGGTGCATGGTCAGGATTATACAGTGGATGCATTATCACTTCCCAATCAAGCTCTTTCAATTTCTGCTGAGTGGTCAAAGATGTGTGTGTGTAGTCTGGCGTTATCATGATGAAAGACCACTCCTTTTTTGTTAATCAATTCTGACCGTTTTTTTTTTCTCAATTTCTTGCTTGAGTCTCATTAGTTGTTGTGGCAGTAGAGATCCGAATCGATGGTATTGCCCAGCGGTAAAATCTCGTAATAAACGAAATCCCACCACATTACACTGTATTACCTTATTGCGTGTTAATCCTGGTTTCAATACAGCCCGTGGAGCTTAACTATCCGTTCTTGTCGTAGGTGATCCACTTTTTATCACCAGTCACCCTTCTCAAAAATGATTCGGTTTCATTGAGTTTCAATAGAGAATCGCAAATGAGTACACGATTCATTAGGTTTCTTTCGGTTTTGAAATCGAGCTTTTTTGTATAGCCAGACTTTTTCAAATGGGTTTAAACTGTTTTAAGGCCAATCCTTAATTCCTTGGCTATGTTTTAAATACTAACATGCCGACACTTTTTCAAAAATGGCATCAATTTTATCCGTATGACCGACCAGAGTGAGCTGCGTCTTTGACGTTAAAATTCCCGCTTGAACTAAGTTTGTGCTACTCTTACTAACACTGCATTAGGTCCCTAGACGTCACAAAATATTTTCGGGGCTTGAGTACCGCATTTTCCTCTTTTTTGTAATAAAACTTTCAGAGATTTTTCTTCAATTTCATACAAACAAAATACGAAAATACTTTTACCCAACCTTTAAGAAGGTTCATGAAACTGATAAAGATAAGTATCAATGTAAGTTTAAAGAGGAAATTGGTGATTTGTATTTATGGTGTATAATGTAAAGATTCGAACTTGGAGACTGTGTCATATAAAGTAAAGACAGATTTGGTGTATGTAACAACCGAAATGGAATAAGTAAGAGAAAAAATACTATTAACTACAACTAATTACTTTAATAGGTATAGTGGACTATATTGAGATTCACAATCCCCTGATATTGTTCAGTTAACGTTCAAAAAATTACACCAAATAGCAATAAACTTCTTATTTGCCAGCCTTCCAAGATCAGCAAAATGTTGAGAGATCCTTGTAGCTTCTTCTACACGGCATACTACAATGATAATTAGATAGTCCTTTAAAGTTTTTTGGAGAAATATTCAAATCACTATAATACAAAGATATGTAGGGGAAGTACGTAAAAAATTACATACACGGCCAAAATGACACAGGCATCATATTTCAAATTCTGTCAATTCTAGCCCGCCCTAGACAACTATATCACGTGGCTCTACCGGCTCATACCAATCTGTCAAAACGTGAACTCGCGCCTGTCTTTCGTTCAGGTGTCATAGCCGACGACAAAAATTGGTAGGTTACGAGTTTTTTTTTATTGCAGGGAGTTTTTTATATTAATATTATATTTTTCATAGTTTTACCTAGCTTGTACATTTATTACACCCTTAGGTACTTATTGTTACATTTGAATAACTTTTTCCGTAAATAATATTAATTTTAAATTTATTGTTGAATTCTGATTTTTATATAACGCTATAAGGACAAAATGACGTACATATGTAAATGGACAAAATGACATAGGTATGTAGTTTTGTCTATAAGAACTCAATGAGCTAATTGTGCATTAGCAATAGCTAATTGTGCACTAGCATACCTTTATTCAAAGCGGTTAATTTCTTTAGAGATAAAACTTTACTAAAACACCTTACAAAAACGATACAGTTCAACCAACCGACTCTACTGAACAAAGCGATAATTCAACATCAAACACTGGTTAAGACCTTATTTTACCTGCTCCAAATCAAAGTCTGTTGGTAATAAAGAACGCCCTTCTTTCTTTACTCTAGTAGTGCCTATTCAGGATATATCACCCGTCCCAAAACGTGACGTTACATTAGTGGCCAAAGAAAACGTAAGCCAAAGATATAACAATCCTCTTTGATTTTGATTTTTCCTCCAAATATGAATGCAATTAAATCAGAACAAAAAACAAAAAACCTAAAGTTCTTGCAGGGAAGAGGAGAAGAAACGTTACCAAAACCTTGTTCGAAGAAGTCAATGAGGAAGAAAATTTGGTAAACAACGCTCAAGATGACGAAGAGTAGTGCTCTTGCATATGTTGCAACGATCTTTTTTTCCGGTCAAGACCTGGAGAAGACTGGTTGCGGTGTTTAAGTGTTTCATAGTGGAGGACGTCCGTTAATTTCATAAAGTAATTTTGGCGAGTTTTGCGTCCACCTGGTGAGATGTCGTAAGATTTGGCTTTACCTTCTCCGTCACCCAATCTCACGTGAGGTTTCTCAAAATGCGTATTTTTAGTGTAAATACGTTTACCTGTTGTTGTTGCCAAAGCCAAATCTTACGACATAATAACCAGGTAGACGCAAAACTCGTCAAAATTACTTTATGAAATTAACGGCCGTCCTCTAGTTGCTTGTAGCAACATGGCGACGCTGCATAACCTGTGGATTAAAAAAAAAAAGAATACGGTAGAAACAGTAGAAGCCGCCTAGGGGAAATACGTACAAAATGACATACAGTTTTGTTTTTGGGTCATAACTCTTTATTAATAAATCACAGCACATTCGTATTGTACACCAGTAATCTTTGGTTTTATACCTAGATATTAAAAATATATATTATATAAAACATATATTATAATATATATATATATATATATATATATATATATATATATATATATATATATATATATATATATATATATATATATATATATGATATTTAAAAGATAAACTAATTGATTTTTTTAAATTAAAGTTTAACTGAGTTCAACGAAAATCCATTTTGTCCATAGCATATGGACAAAATGACATACACTACAAAATTAATAACATTAACGACAAAGCTCGCAAATGAATCGCTTTGTTCGATTAGGGACGTCCGCGCAAGAAGCGTGGGTCCACTATGAAACACTTAAACACCGCAACCAGTCTTCTCCAGGTCTTGACCGGAAAAAAAGATTAGCAATATATGCAAGAGCACTCCTCTTGGTCATCTTTAGCGTTGTTTACCAAATTTTCTTAATCATTGACTTCTTCGAACAAGGTTTTTGTAACGTTTCTTCTCCTCTTCCCTGCAAGAGCTTTAGGTTTTTTTGTTTTGATGAAATACCTTGTAGCCAAAAGAAGGAAAAACGTAGTGGCTACAGCTGTCACTGTTAAAACTTTTAACTAGGAGGCAATATGTAAAACAGTCAGCGACTTTATACAACGCAATTAATAAAAACATTAAAAATTCATCACTATAACTACCATAATTGCAACTATGTTCTAACCGAATGGCTATTTCATAAAAGCTATGATGATACTGAGGCTCTTTTAAGCAATATGAAATTATATAATTTATTTATAACACACACCCACGCACGTGCGCGCACTCACTCACTCATTCACACACACCCATTCACTCACATACACACAACGCGCGCGCGCACACGCATGCACGCGCACGCTCGTGTATACTATAATACATTTGACGTGAGTATTTTTATTTTTTTATTTTAATTATATAGTTAATTATTATGTAACAATCATGCAAATAGTATTGTAAGTGCTATGGAAGAGTGAACACCAGTTTTTATACTTAAAAGGAGACCTCATTCCCGGTTATAATTTATGTATGTGTGATAATTTACTGAATAAACTATTTTATTTATTATTATTAAACTAATGATAGAAAAATTTACATACTTCTTTTGATAATACTTTATTATAAACTCTAAAATAAAAATAAAAACCTGTTCGGCAGACAAACCCGAATGGGTTAATTAACTTATCGATAGCTATAGTTGTAGCGTACATCACTACATTGCAGTCCTTTCGGTTGCGGTGATACCAGTTTAATTTTACAAACATTTGCTACGAAGTGGCAAGTTTCGATTCGACTTATTCGGTCTTTATTTTGAGACTAGTTATCGATTATATAAATTACGTAAGATTAATGTTATTGAGATTATAGTGTTAAAAATATTTATATTACAATGAAATGAAATATCCTGAATGCTTTATCCAGGCAAATTCTAAAATTATCAATAACTGGTTTCGTTTTGAAACGACTACTCCTATTGAGCTGCTATTTTACATTGGTATTCTGCGAGTGATCCTTTCCTGGTCAAGCCGATCACTCGTGCTAAAACTAAACTACGATTATAGTTGCAGCGTGGCCCTACCATGTAAAAGCTACTTAATATTGAGTGGGAGGGGCTCCATCCGATTAATTTTCCCTGGGTCTCTAACGGTTTAGTTACGCCACTAAATTTAGCGCTAATAAAAGCGCTTTTCGTATCTCCGTTAGTGCTGAATGGATTTTTGATCTGGCAGCACTGAAATAATAATCTCAACGGAATTTTAAATTTATTGTTGACAACACTGGTTGTTAATTGTTATTTCTGCAACTTGAGATTGAGATCTATTTCATGTTATTTCTATTTAGATCAATTTAGATAGCTATATAAGACAGAAAACAACCAAAATTTTAAACGAAAAAATGGCAATTGCAGCTGAAGAACTTTCATATTGTGGACACGACCCTGGAGCTGCAAAATTTGGAAATTTTATAAATTATTACAGCTTCCACAAAGCAAATCAAAGAATTCAAAATCTTCACACTTCAATGTTTCCAATACTTACTGTAAGCGAGGATATTGTTTGTTTGGATATAGGATGTAATACAGGAGAACTTACTAAAGAAGTATATGACTACCTAAAACATCTTTATCCAAAGTCTAAAATTAATTTCGTTGGCATAGACATTGACCCAGTATTGATACAAAGAGCTCAGGAGCATATAAACAACAGTAACATTACATTTATAACATTAAACATAACAGATATACAAGACCAAGACATAGTGCAAAAATATCTTAATTCCCACAATAAAACTAAGTTTGATATCGTATTTTGCTTCTCAGTTACGATGTGGATACATCTAAATAGTGGTGATGAAAAGTTTCTGGGCTTCTTAAAATACATTACCAAATATGCCAAAACAATTATAATAGAACCGCAACCTTGGAAATGTTACCGTAATGCTCAAAGAAGATTGAAAAAATCTGGTAGTTACTTTCCTTTATATGAGTCACTTAAAATCAGGAGCAGTGTTGAAACAGTTATAGAGAATACTATCACAAGTAATGGGTTTACAAAAGTGTATGAGTCTCTTCCATCTAAATGGAATCGAAAAATTCTAAGTTTTCATATAAGATAACAATAAGAAACCAAAACTCTCAATACAAAATTATATATATTTATTTATACTAAACAAGTATTTATTTTCTATGTTGTTACTTCTTCAGCGCTAGACTCAAATTCTAATTTAATATTTTTACCTAATCCCTCTACATCCATCTCTGATTCTTGTGCATTCAGCATGTTCAATGTTACCTGCAAAATAATAACATTATACTCCTATTACTTCACAAAAAATGTAATTGAATAATACAACAAATTATGACTTCCTGCTAGTATTTTAAAATTAAATACATTAATAATTTTTTTTGCTGTTATTTCTTCTAATGTGTGATTAATACCACCTTTTTACCCTTACCAATTTCAGCTGCTAGAAAGTAGTGTCACAACTGTTGTGTGCAGTTTGAAAGAGAAGAGAGCCAGTGACAATGAATCTGTGACCTTTTAAGTTGGTTAAAGGTATTATCATGAACCTCGGAAGTCACCATAAGGTTATTTTTTAACTCATTTGTCACTAATTACTTTTAGTCTAATACAACAATAAAATATTCAAAGTAAAGTAATTAAAATCTTTATATATATAATTATTCTGTATGTGTGTGTGTCTCCTGTGTTGAACTAAAAGGCTGGACCAATTTTGTTGAAAGATTTTGTCTGTTTGAGTGGGGTCTCTGGATGGTTGGATACACAATTGGATCTGGTAGTTAGTGCTGTTGTTAAGATCCAGAAATCACCCATGCAAAGCCAGGACAGATTACTAGTACTTTTATAAAAACTTTTTACCTCTTATTCTCTTTAAAACAACCCAAAAAATGCCTTATGAAAAACTGAATAAAAACATTTACCTGTCCAGCATTATTGCTTACACTTGCTAATCTTTCCTCGGCAACCTTTCTCTTCACTGGTGTTTTTGTTTGTGAACTAGAAACAGTATAAATAATACTAAAAGAACTATGTTTTTGCATACACTAAACATATTATAACCAATTAATAATCAATATTTTTTATAACCTATTTTCTATTGATTGCTGAGGTGGTTACAGCATTTAAGCATCTGACTGATTGAAAATACAACTATGATGAGTTGTTGGTCTTGTCATAGTCCAATGCAGTTGCAATCCGACACGACTGGAGGGCGAGCAGGCGCAAGACTGAGCTTTACATACTTTCCGCAGCATGGGAGTGAAACACCGCCAGATTCCTGATTACAGACTGCTACGGAGTATTTCTTCACAGAAAAGAATTATATGAGATGGCTAATTCATCATCCATCAGGAGCTATGTGAATTTTCTTTTATATACCATAGCCACCATGCATGACTCAATTTGGAAAGGTGTATAGAGTGATAAAGATAGATTTAAAAAAAATTTAAATATGTGTTGAACATCCTCTTCAACATAGGATATGCATAATTTTTAAATTTATGGGAAGTATATACCTAGGAGATGATTCTGCAAGGGGATGCAATAACATTGTCATTTCTGCTAACTTATTGAAAGCTGCACCAGCTTCTGTAAAAATTTCCCCAACCTGAAATTGACATGAATAGATATACACATTTTTGCTGCATGATTTAAATCAATAAATAAGTATCTTTCTAGTTGACATTATTTTGTAAACTGTTTAAGAATGTCAGCATGTAACTAAATCTACACAATTATCCTATGTATAATTTATTTATTCTATGCTTTTATTGTGAGCATATATTATGTGATGAAAAAAATTATTTTAAATATATATAGGTACCGGTGTATAATCCTAGCTATTAGGCTTTAAATTTTTATATTTATCAAAATTTATTTACTAGAGGACTAGTACCTAATGAGGGTTTATTTATTATATTTTATTACCTTTAGAATTTTTTTATTATTAAAATAAATTACGGAAAACACAAACAGGAATATATTGAAAAGAAAATAATAACTCGTGTCATTATCCAGGGAGAAAACTGAGGAATATTTTTGTATTACATGTTCCAGTCAAATGAAGAACAAAATTTATTACATGCTTTGATACAATCAGGTATACCATCTAGGCACGTAATATAACAAAGGATTACTATTAACAATTATATAAATACATAAGTGTGTTTATTAGTTTATTCTTCTTTCACCCAGCAACAAAGCAAGGGATCGACACGATTTTCGCAGATACTTAAATTATGGGTTAGAGAGTGACACTGACAGTTCAGTGGTATGTACTATGTATATATTTGTAGTGTAATCTTATAATTACCTATTAGGCTATCTTATGATTTGTGATAACAAATTGGCTGTGATTTTTATAAATCTTTTTCTAACATTCATAAAAACTGACTTGACATTGGGAGAATTCTATTAAGAGAAGCCGGAAAGTAAAGAAGAAGGGTAGTAAAATATAATTGGATTTATGATAACGCCAAATAAAATGAAACTCGACATAACATCTATACATAAACGACTATAAACGCATGCAATACCTTTGCTGCAGAATTATTCATTATTGCTGCGGTACTAAATCAAAACTAAAACGTAGTAATTACACACTACCTTTGAGTATTCAACTCAAAGTACACTACTGATTCAACAAATACGTTTCTAACTATTACACACATACGTATTTATAACTACAATAACTTTACAACAGTAAATAGTCCCCTATCCCACTTTTAATTCTATGCGTAGTGTCGTCTCTTAGTAGTGTGTGTCTAAAGTTTTAATTGAAAAATTATATTTAGTAATAGAGGATTTGTTGATATTTATTTTCGAAATATACACTTTCATTATATATAAAGGTACCTACCACATCTCTAGTACATAGTCAGTAATCTATGGTACCTACCACAGAACACTATTACTCCTATCGGACGTATCGGAGGTACCTACTCTGTGATATACACAACTTATCTTTTACATGTAATTTTTTATTAAATGACTTTACGGCTCTGGCTTCTAGCCCTTCTGAGCCTGAAATTACAATGTATAATGACGTAGTTATGCAAAATGGATCCAGCCACAAAAACTTACTTTTGAGAAAATAGGAGTTTTAGGAAAATTGATATATCAACATTACAAAACCGTAGTTTGTTTTAAAATTTCTTTTAAGTATAAGGTATTTTTAACTTCTTCTTGTATAGTATTGTTTTAAGAAGTTTCATGTAAATAAATATTCATCTTAACCTCTGTGGATCTTTTTTATAATATTAAAAATATAGAATGGATCTTTTATTTTTAAATTAAGGCAGTAAAACGCTTATAAGAATACTAAAGGCATTTTATTAAAACTAAAAAAAAAGCAGTTACATAATAAAAATCGGTGCTCATCTTGACCAGACACAATAGTATCCGTGTCAATTTTAAAAACAACCACCTGAAAATCCATCTACGTCAACTAATAGATAATCATCTTCTGTTAACTTCCCGTAAAAGCCTTTTGCATCTTGTTCTTGTAGAATAAGATAAATCAGACTTTTCAGGTCCTAAGTTAAGGCACCCGAAAAGTCTCCTTTATCTTATGGTGGATGGTACTGCTTTGCCAGTAGGTTACATAAGTAACTAAGCTAAGCGATTTTTTTTAATATTCACTTCTTTAAATTCTTCGTAGCTTGACCTCATATATATGGTAAACATCTCATTTTTCTTTTTCAACCTTTAAAATAAGTACTAATTTAATATTTCGATTCTGTCCTCCATACGAATCACTCCATAATACATGTTAATTTTTTTACATTCGACTTTAGGTTTTTTCTTTCTTTAGGATAATTTTAAAGTCATAATGTTAGTTCTTTTCTACGCCACACTAATATAAGCTGCTCGAAATACTAATCCTGCGCAGACGAAGTCGCGAGCACCAGCTAGTAATCAATAATTTTCGGTTACAAAACCATAATCAATAGCAAACAATTAATTGAAAAATCGATCATTGACAATCGATTCCGCATATCATTACCACTTACACTTAATCTTAGTAGTCTGTGATTAATAATTTACTTTATATATCAGACTCAGAAGAGATAGAACCGTAGACAGAGAAACCTACAGACAAATTGACGCCTTCTTTCGCATTCGCACACGAAAAAGATAGATTTATGCAGACGTCTTGCATAGAAATGAGACAGAGCGGTGTGATTGTCACTTTCTCCGAGCCGGTTTTTTTGTTTAGCAAACTACACTTTGCTAAACAACTTTGACAGTTCGTAGCGATCTAAGGATTGTACAAGTTGGTTTAAGTGAGAAAAAAGTGTGTTGTGAGAGATTTTATATAAATATGTTTAAAAGTCATAAAGATTATTGTATAACCCAAAACTACATTATCGTCCTTTCTCAATCGAGGCCACGCTTATCATTAGTCTATAGATTTCTCTATCTACGGATAGAACCCAGAGCCATAAAGCCAGTTAAAAAATAATAGAAGATAACTTTCATGAAGGTAACACAGATAATAGGTAAGACAGGTAACAAGAGAACGATCACCGTAGAAAATAGTGTCCCAGAAATATGGACACCATAAGTGAGGTGCTGCGACCGCTAAGTTCGGTAAATAAAAGTAATTTTCAGTCATTATTCCGATCAGATGATAAACCACTTGCACATCCACGCACAATAAAAAAAATTTAAATTTTTTTATGTTTCTTTTTGTCAAAAATTACAAAATTACGGAGCATGAAAATTTTCTCACCAATGCCGGAAAGAAAATTTGTACATTATTCAACTAACTTCATCTAATTGTACTCATAAACACCTAACTTTGCAGATACTACTCGCCGACGGCAGTTCAGGGACAGGCAGGCTATGCTTTATTAGCACATGACGATCGTTCTCCTTCTCTCTATCTCTCTAACATCCATGGTTAGTACTCTTATTATAATTTGTGACTGGGAGTTTTGGCGGGAACTTGGCCGACGACGGAGTGTCGCTCCTGTTTTGTCGCTTGAATAATGGTTTGAAGTGGATTTTAAATCGTAAAAGTGATGTGATTTTGTGAATTAAGTGTCTGCGCGTGTGAACTATTAGTAAAAACAACGAAACAAGTGCTTTGATGTTGATATAAACTTCAAGTTAATTTGATCACTTGGCCGCCTTACGAACTTGAATGGCTGTCGTCATCAACAATCCGCTGGGTTGAGCTGTCGTCAAAATCTTCCAAAAACTTCGCAATGTGACGCATTAGCATATTGTGAAGAAAAAATATATAAAATGAAGATTCTGAAAGAAATGATAGGCTCAGAAGGGCTAGTACCCAGAGCCGGAAAGCCAGTTAAATAAAAAAATTGTAATTACTATACTCTTTGGTATATATTGGAGGCTGTGATTTGGAGTTTTGGCGGGAACTTAGCCGTCGACGGATTGTTCTCCTGTTTTGTCGCTTGAATAATGGTTTGAAATGGATTTTGATTCGTAAAAGTGATGCGATTTTGTGAATTAAGTGTCTGCTCGTGTGAACTATTAGAGAAAACGATGAAACAAGTGCTTTGATGTTGATATTAGCCTCAAGTTACTTTGATCGCTTGTGCGACTTATGAACTTGAGTGTCTGTCATCATCAACTGTGCAATGGGTTGAGCTGTCGTCAAAATCTCCCAAACTTGGCAATGTGATGCATAAGCATATTGTGTAGAAAAAATGTATAAAAATGAATATTCTGAAAGAAATGATGGGCTCGGAAGGGCTAGAACCCAGAGCCGGAAAGCCAGTTAAATAAAAAAATATTTGTCTATGGTATCTGCATAGATTTAAGCCCACTTTTCACTGTGGGATATAAATATAATTTATCTTACATCTCGAAATATAAATGAATATCGCTCACCGTACTTTTAAATGGAACCGTTTCCACTGAGATATAACATATATTACATCCGAAACTAGAAATATTTTTTCGATCGACCGAGCGATATTTTCATATTATATTTCACCTCCTGTACCCCGCACACACTTCCGCGCCTCCGCTACGCCTTTCGATCTTCCAATGACGAACGCACACTGGTTAAAATATATATCTCACAGTGTTAAGGGCAATGGCGGGATATAATTTATATTTCGGGATATAATATATATTATATCTCATAGTGAAAAGCCTATGGTCTATGGCATATACTAGAGAGCACAGACTAACTAGTGGATTCTAGAGAGTAGAGTACTCTGTGCAGTATATATTCAGTAATCTATGACTGGAATTTGGCGGGAACTCCAAACGAGGCGGTCGATTTAATAATTTTTACTGTTTTTCGTTAATAATATCCTGTGTAAATATTACCAAAACTTATTTCAGTCAGTATAAATAATTGTACATTGTGTGAATTATCAAAATCCGAAACGAGCTAAAATTGTTCGTAAAAGATGTACGAAGGTATGTGGACCTGAAGTAGGCGGCGGTGAGGATGACTTTATTCCGATTTTTAAGCCAGGTTATCTGAGACTTTATCATGAACATTGTACAAATACGGACTTCAAAGTTTTTGTTGAAAGCCAGGACCAACAGGTTAAAATTGGAAATAAAAGCCCAGTTTACTTAAATCATATTTTTACTTCGGAGGTGAAAGGTGTGGTAGCTTTACATAGAGTCAATGCCAATAAAATTACGGTTGTTTTTAAACAATACAACACTGCAAATAATTTCATCACAAATACAGACTTTTTAACAAAGCACAACTTTTGAAGTGCCGTGTAGTGGCGGTTGAGAATATCCACTACCCCTACCCCATATCTTCCCGTGGGTGTCGTAAGAGGCGACAGAGGGAGACAGGCAGGAGATGGGCAGCAGCATCTTCCTGATAACAGCAATGATATAATAAAAAAACTGCGGTTGCCAACCCGCTCGCCAAGCGTGGCAACTATGGCAAATATCCCTCCATGAGTTACGACTCAAACAAACGGCGCCCAGTCCCCGGCGGCCCAAATATTCCTGGCTACGGTGGCGACCATGGTAACGGCGGGGCAGGGGGTGCTAAGAATCTCCAGTGGAGGTTCGTTTGCCACCTACGACGACTCGACCTGGCAACATATAACGCACGCACACTGAGGACTGACGAGAAGGTACTGTAGTTGGAAGAAGAGGTAAACAAGTTGCGCTGGCATATTATTGGGTTATCCGAGGTCCGAAGAGAGGGGGAGGACACGGTAATCCTCGAGTCTAGCAACTCGTTCTATCACCGGGAGGGCGACCATCTGTCCAAAGGAGGTGTCGGATTTATCGTCCACAAGTCTCTCGTCAACAACGTTGTAAAAGTTAGGAGTGTGTCGAAGAGGGTCGCGTACCTGATACTCAGAATCACCAAACGGTATTCGCTGAAGGTCATACAGGTTTACCCACCAAACTCGGCACATACCGATGAGGAGGTGGAGGAAATGTATGAGGATATTTCTAGAGCCGTGCATTCCTCCAAAACCCACTACACGGTGTTGATGGGAGACTTCAACGCAAAACTAGGCACAAGAGAAAGCGGTGAGCTGAAGTTAGGGAAATTTGGATTAGGGCAACGGAACTGTAGGGGCCAGCAGCTGGC